CCTGCCCGCAGCACCTGCAGCCGGGCGGCCGCCCCCAGACCCAGACCCAGACGCTGACCCTGCGTGTGGTCAGCGTTACGCCCTGACCGCCCGGTGGGAACCTCAGCCCCACGCAGCTGCTCCCCTTGGCTACAGTGTAGCGAGCCCCTTGCCGGCGGCGGCTGGCCGGGGGCGCAGATGGGTCGCAGGTCTCTGGGGGGCGGGGCGCTGGCTGCCTAACTTCTCAGTCTCCCAAAGGGAAGCTCCAGGGACGGGTCTGCCCTGCTGCCCGCCCGCGCGCCCGCGGGCCCTGGGAAGTCGCTAATCATTAAAGGGTTTGCCTGTCTGTGCTGAACGGTGACCCAGCAGGGTAGGGGGTGGCGTTGGTGTGTCACTCATGGCCTCTGTCCCCATATTGCCCAAGAGGACCACGCTATCAGCTCAGCCTCGCACATTCAGAGGGTTATCTTGGCGAGCAGATAAGATTTTCAGAGGGAAGTGCCCAAGGAGGAGGGAAGCGGGGAGCTGGCTTCTGTGCTCTCTAGCATCTTGCTTTCCTTCCAGATGCCCCCTGGTGTGGCCACTGCAAAGCCCTGGCCCCTGAGTATGCCAAAGCAGCTGGGAAGCTGAAGGCCGAAGGCTCCGAGATCAGGCTGGCAAAGGTCGATGCCACGGAGGAGTCTGATCTGGCCCAGCAGTATGGTGTCCGCGGCTACCCCACCATCAAGTTCTTCAAGAACGGAGACACGGCTTCCCCCAGAGAGTACACAGGTGTGCCTACAGCTCTGCCCTTCAGCTGCTCTAGAGTGGGGTTTGTCCACAGGCCCTGGTGGATACCTGAGGGGGTGGGAGGCCCATTTTTAGGAACATGGAGGGGAACCTGTCCTTGGACCCAGTTCTCAGTCTAGTTATAGTTCATTCTCTGAGGAAGGAAAGCTCTCAACCTGGAAGAACCTCCCACGTGGAGAGGGACATCCTAGGGTGGACAGAAGGCAGAGAGAGAGGGAGGCTGGAGCACCAAGTGCAGCATTGCCATCAGCCGTGCCAAGCTGAGCGTTGGGAAGGGCTGAGGCTGAGCCGACCGAGCCACAGCTGTCAGGACAGAACTCAAATTCAAGCCCAGCTCCGTCTGTCCCGGCCCTCAGCTGCTTGCTTGCTCAGGCTGCTGGAATGGGACCGGGCCCCTTTGTTGCCCGAGCAGTACCTGTGAGGAAAGGAAGAGTCTTATCTATAGAACTGGTTCCGTGGCTCAGCCATCAGAATCCTCTCAGGCACACTGTCTATTCATCCTGCTGTTAGCAGCTCTGGTCTTCTCACAGGGATGCTGTTTTCTTAGTCTGTTTTAACTTGTGTTCGCTTTTGGAACAGGAAATACCTTGTCCAAAGTTACCCTGATCCTCTCACTGAGCCATGGGTTTTGTAGATAAGGCTACTCCCAGTTCCACCTGGGACTGATGACTCAGCTTTTGCCACCACTTGGCAGAATCTTTTTTAAATGTGAGATTCAGCAGGCCTTCCACATTGGGCAAGGTGGTTAGAGCCTATGAGAGGAGAAAAGCGTCCAGTCTCAGTCTAAGGAGGACCAGGTGTCTTCCTTTTCATTCTCTGCTCTGGTGGCGCCCACATGACTCTCATCCTGCTAGTCCAGGAGCTGTGAAGGGCAACGATACTTGACCAGCCTGGGCAAGAGAGGCAGGGTGGGGTTCAGCCTCTTTTATAGTGAAAACTGGCATCAGGGCTGACTTTCTAAAAGAAATTCTAACACATCTCTAATTAAGGCAAATCCTTGTGGGAGACCACCAAGGAAAAAGTGTCCGTGTTCAATGAAGGCAAATGTCAAGGAAAATTTAGGAAATGCAAAGGGTTAGAGAAGAAAAAATGACCTGTAATCTTACTACCCAGAGGTAGCCACTGCCTTTTCAACACAACCACGGCCTCCCACACAGAAAAGCCCATTTAGCCCTGGAATTCACACAGGTGTGCGGGTAAGATGCCTTTTCTGTGGTGAGAAGCTGTCTTGCTGGAATTTGGCAGAGCGCTCCGTTGAGGATGGGCAGGGAGGGTGGGCCCAGTGTCAAGTAGACCCTGCATGTGTTTGTGTGCAGCTGGCAGAGAGGCTGATGACATTGTGAACTGGCTGAAGAAGCGCACCGGCCCCGCAGCCACCATGTTGCCAGACGGGGCTGCTGCAGAAACCTTGGTGGAGTCCAGTGAGGTGACAGTCATCGGATTCTTCAAGGTAGAGGCTTTGGGATTCATCTCAGGTCTTCTTACGCCTGCCATTGGAGGGTGGGCCCCCGTGGCCTGGGCCCTATGATTTGACCTGCTGCTGGCCTGGTCAGGGTCTTTGATGTTGGGCGACACGGCCACCTCTGGCTCTTCTCTCCAGGACGTGGAGTCGGACTTTGCCAAGCAGTTCCTGCTGGCAGCAGAGGCCATTGATGACATACCCTTTGGGATCACATCCAACAGTGATGTTTTCTCCAAATACCAGCTGGGCAAGGATGGGGTCGTCCTCTTTAAGAAGGTGAGTGGTCCTGGGCAGCTCTGCCTGGGTGGTTGAGGTGCTGTGCTGGGGGTGGTGTTGCCTTCCTGTTGCAGCACAGTCCTTGAGAACCTTGCCCGGAGGTGCTGGACTGCTGGACCGCCAGCCTGGCTGTTATCAGGGACTGTTTTGCAACGTCAGGCCATAAGAGGCACTTAGATAGTGGCCTTCAGCCCTTTGTTCGGCTTCTGTGATAGCCTGGTGCTATGTTTTATGAGGGCAGAGTTGCTTTGGAGTGGTAGCTTTTAAAAAAAAAAAATATATATATATATGGCAGACATAGTAACAAACTTCCCATTGTAACTATTTCTAAGTAGTTCTGAGCCTTAATTGCATTATATGTGGTGCAACATTGTTTCTGTTTCTAAAACCTTTTTTTACTCTAGCTGGTTTGGCTCAGTGGTTAGAGTGTCAGCCTGCAGACTGAAGGGTCTGGGTCTAGGGTTCGATTCCAGTCAGAGGCACGTAGCTTGGTTGCAGTCTCATTCCTCTGCCCGGGAGGCAACCAATCAATGTGTCTCTCAGGACTATGTTTCTCTCTCCCCCCCACCCCCCTTCCACTCTCTGAAACACAGTGGAAAAAATACCCTCTGGTAAGGATTAAAAGATGATAATAAAAAATAAAACTTCACCCAGACAGGAGCTCTGGATTGTTAGCTTTTGGGGAGCGTGCTCCCAATCTATGGGCACAGGCCTATTCCCACGGGCTCCCAAGGCCCCTTGTCCTGGTGTCCTTCCTGTTCGTAAAGGAGCTGCGAGGTCTGTGTCTGCACGTAACTGATGCAGCAAGTGGCATCTTTGCCTTTTCTCTCAACCACCAGACAGTGGAACGGGTACCAGCCGAGCAGCCCTGCTCTTGGAATAGGGCTGTGTCTGAATTGGGCAACAGAAAGCACACACAGAGTGCAGGAGAGTAGACCGTGAAGGAGCTGAGAGGTGGGACACGTGTCTCTAGGAGCAGAGATAGGACCACTGTCCAGCTTGTCAGGAAAGACGCAGTGTGGGTGAGGCGCTGGCCGCAGGCTTCGTGTGAGGGTGGGAGGTGGAGCTTTCTGCAGAACCTGCTGGATATCTAGTGTTTTGCCTCGGCTGTTGGGCAGAGGAGAGGCCTCTCAGCAGCACTGGGGAGGACAGGAGCTACCCAGGTGGCCCAGGTGCCATTGTGGCTGGGGTGTTTCTGTAGCCCCTTCCTTGGCAGAACTCAAATACGCTGTTTTTTCTGAGTGGAAACCCTCATGATGTCCCCTAAAGGAAATAGAATTGATCAGTTGTCAACATCTGATTAGGAGAAACTGTCAAGTGTTGGGTGAGGTTGTCTGGGTGCTAAGGAGAGTCCTGGGTCAACGATTGTCCTCGGGTTTGGGCAGAGATGCTGGGGGGTCCCTAAGACCAGCCTGCATCATCCACCATCGCCCTTGACCTTGGGGGCGCCCGTTTTCACACCGAGCATGGATTTTGGCAACCACATCCTTGAGGGTTAGAGCTACCATTTCTTGTTCTGCAAAAACTCTAGTGCTGGCTGATGTTCCTGTCCACGCAGGCTGGGCACAGTCGTGCCCTGGGGTCCGGTCCAGTGAGGGCAGTGCCTCCCTTTGCGCAGTGGCTGCAGGGTCTGCTTTGTAGCATGGTTGCCTCTGGCAGTCTGGCTGAGCCCGTGGACTTGGCTGTGTGGGTCGGGAGGGTCTCAGCTGCAGTCAGAACGCAGAGCCCGTGTGGGGTCAAGGCCCAGAGCCTCCCATCGGCTCTGCTTCCTCAGCTGCCACACCCTGTCTTTCTCAGCCTTTCTCCTTCCCTTCCTTTCGGGCTGTTAACAATTTCCTCAGAGTGAGCTGGGTCTTCCTGTCCGCCCAGGGCAGCCTGGCTGAGCTGCTACTTCCCCAGTGGGAGCGGCTGCTGCTTGCTGGCTGGGATGACAGGAACGCAGCAGCACAGTGACGCTCACGCCATGAGTCCCAGCTTGGGCCATGGGTTGGAGAGCTGAGCATCCTGTATCTTTGTTCTGACATTTACTCTGCTTTTCTTCTTTGTTTGTGGAAGCTGGGGCCTTAGGAGTGGATGTGGGGCTGGGCTCTCCACCTCCTGTGGCTGCCCCCAACTAAGTGAGGGCTGTCTGCCTGCTTTTTACCAAAGGAGATGGTGAACATAGTGTAATGTGGCAACATTACCAAAAAGATTGTGGCTCAGGAGAGTGGCCACCCAGCGTGAAATTGGACAGACAATGCTGGCTGCTCAGAGGGGCAGGAGTAGGGATGCAGCCTGTTTGCTTCTAATTGGGGCTCGGCACTACCCTGGGGCTCAGGGCCTGCCTGCTGTGTGCCTGATGGGGCCGCCTGTAAGCTCGTTTTCTTAACAGCATGCTCTTGGCTTCGGCTTTTCTTCCCTTTTTTACTTTCCTGCCGTTTTCATCCTGTCCACATTTGTGGGTTTGGGGAAGGTAGAGCCTCAGCAGTGAGGGTGTGGGGAGCAGGGGCCGGGCCTTGCCTGTGCTTCTGGCGCCTGGCCCTTGGTGTGGTCTGACACAGGGCGGGGTGGGAAGCGGGCCACCTGCTTTTCTGGAAGTCACTGGGAGGCAGTGCAGAGAGAAGTGAGCAAGAAGGAAAGGCCTGTAGTTTCCAAGTCACTTGAGAACTTAGGGCAGTGATAGAGGGCCCACCTGAACTGCCACCTGGAGGTGCTTAGGCACAGGACACACCTGTGTGAGGCCCTGTCCGTCGTCCCAGGACTTGACAGGGGATCCTGGAGACTTTTACACCGGTTTACATGGAATATACCTGTTGGTTTTCATTGTGTTACAAATTAAAACTGAGAAAAAAAATTTTTTTAATATATCTTTATTGATTTCAGAGAGAGAGAGAGAATCATCAGTGATGAGAGAGAGTCATTGATCGAGCCCACAACCTGGGCATGTGCCTAGATCCTAGGTTGACGCTCAACCGCTGAGCCATGCCCGGCCAGGCAGAATTGAGAAATTTTTAAAAACTTAATTCATCGACAACAGCCCGTTACATGTTATAAAAAATAACATTTTTATGACTGTTAACTTGTACAGTGTTTTAATGGTAAGGTGGTGTTTTAGATTTTTGCTGGGCCCTTTAATATCTGCCTAATGGAAAACTGGTGTTCTTCTGGCTTGCCTCAGTGGCTGCGGTGTCATCCTGCACCCTTGGGAGAAAGCGGAAGGTACTTGGCACCTGGTGACACCTGAATGTGATGATGAAAGTCACCTTGAGCTTGGGGGGCGGGGGCAGGGGTGTGGCCCACACACTGAGCAGCTGCTTTCGGGACTTGGCTATGAGGAAGTTTCCCTGGCACTAGGACGTGAGGCTCTACTGGATTCTGAGGAGCCTGTGGGGATGGTCTAGGTCAGTGGATCCTGCAGGCCTAGCCTGGCTTTTGTTTTGTGGGCAGGCACGTGGGGGCTGCCAGATCCCTTGTGCTGGGCCATGCCGAGCTGGTGGGGAAGCTGGGCGGCCTCGTGAAGCCCTCGGTGCTCAGGGCCCTCTCTCTGTCCACAGTTTGATGAAGGCCGGAACGACTTTGAGGGGGAGATCACCAAGGAGAAGCTGCTGGACTTCATCAAGCACAACCAGCTACCGCTGGTCATCGAGTTCACCGAGCAGGTGTGGCTCCCACCTACAGAGTCCCCAGTGTCCTCCAGGCTTAGCTCAGGGCTGAGACCCAGTAACCCGTGTTTATAACACAGACGGCCCCGAAGATCTTTGGGGGTGAAATCAAGACTCACATCCTGCTGTTCCTGCCAAAGAGCGTGTCTGACTATGAGGGGAAACTGAGCAACTTCAAGAAAGCCGCCCAGAGCTTCAAGGGCAAGGTGCGCGGCGCTCACGGGGGCCTCCTCCTTCAGCAGCCTGCCTTTAGAGTGCCTGTCCTCGGGGTCCAGGCCTCTGGGAGGGTCTGCAGCAGGTGAAGCTGTGCCACCTTCAGGTGCCCCTCTCAACGTGCCTTTTCTCCCCCAAGATCCTGTTTATATTCATCGACAGTGACCATGCCGACAACCAGCGCATCCTCGAGTTCTTCGGCCTCAAGAAGGAGGAGTGTCCCGCCGTGCGGCTCATCACCCTGGAGGAGGAGATGACCAAGTACAAGCCTGAGTCTGACGAGCTGACGGCTGAGAAAATCACGGACTTCTGCCACCGCTTCCTGGAGGGCAAGATCAAGGTGGGGGCCCCGCCGCCTGTGCCACCTCACGCTTCCTAGTGTGGCTGTGTCCTTGTGGTGTCTGAAACCATGAGTGTGGGGTCCTTAGGACAGGCCCCTGATGCTGAGGATAGTGTTCTCAGCCCCCTGCGTGGGGAGCACAGAGCAGCCCTGGCCTCCTGGGCTCGGCCCTCCTGAGCCTCCATGGGCAGGGTCGGCTGCCTCCTGGGGCTGGAGGCTGCGGGCGCCGAGTCCCTGATCCCGCCCTGCCTGCCCCCCAGCCTCACCTGATGAGCCAGGAGCTGCCTGAGGACTGGGACAAGCAGCCTGTGAAAGTGCTCGTCGGGAAGAACTTTGAAGAGGTTGCCTTTGATGAGAAAAGGAACGTGTTTGTGGAATTCTGTACGTGAGGCCTCTCCCTGGGCATGTGGGCTCCACAGGGCTAGGGGCGGGCGGTAGGGCGGGGAGGGGTCTCCTCCCCAACAGGACTCAGCACTGCTTGCTTCCAGATGCCCCGTGGTGTGGTCACTGCAAGCAGTTGGCTCCCATTTGGGATAAGCTGGGAGAGACGTACAAGGACCATGAAAATATTATCATCGCCAAGATGGACGCAACAGCTAACGAGGTGGAGGCCGTCAAAGTGCACAGCTTCCCCACACTCAAGTTCTTCCCTGCCGGCCCGGACAAAACGGTGCGCGGGCAACACGGTGGGGGTGGGGGAGGCAGGGTGCGTGGAAGGGTGGGGCCCAGCTTTCTGCAGGGAGGGGAGGGTGCTGCCCTGGGCCCGCTGCTCATCCCCCTTCCCCACAGGTCATTGATTACAACGGAGAGCGGACCCTAGATGCTTTTAAGAAGTTCTTGGAGAGCGGTGGCCAGGACGGGGCAGGGGATGGCGATGTAAGTGGTGGTCACCCTGGCTGGCCTCTGGGACTGTGACCTGCAGTCCCCCGGACGTGTGTGCCTGGGCTGGGCTGGCTGCAGGAAAGCCCTCCCTTGCGTATGACTCCCTCTCAGTGGTCAGCACTAATGCACACTGGTTTGGAGGCTCTTTAGTGCCAGTGTTTGCTTATGAAGTCTCCTCACTCATCCCACGTGGTTCCCTGCTGATTTGGGCTCTGATGTCCTTCCCCAGCCCATTGGCTGAGGTGCCGTGTCAGCTGTGGTCAGCTGTGCAGAGAGTACGTCAGAATTGGTCCTAGGCCCAAAGGGTGTGGCAGGACATCTGTGTCTAGTGGAGGGCATGGTTGATTCGGGACAGCAGGGCCCGCAGGGGAGCCACTCTGGCTGCTGAGTGGGATGGGACTCAGACTAGGGAGGCCCAGCCAGCTCATGCTGCTGTGGTCAGTGGGCTCACTGGCTCCACAAACCCTGAGAACTGGAGGGGGTGGACATTGCATACCAGTGGCCCTGTGCTGGGTCATCACACTGGGGCTGGGAGCCCAGGCTCCGTGGAGGGCAGGTTCCTAGCGTGGGGGGACCTTAACCTTCCCAGGCCTCTCCTCCCCGTGTCCCAGGATCTGGAAGATCTAGAGGAAGCAGAGGAGCCCGACTTGGAAGAAGAGGACACCCAGAAGGCTGTGAAAGACGAGCTGTGACGTGGAGACCAGCCCTGGCACCCCTGCCACGCCCTTCGGGGCCGCACCCCAGCAGCACAGCCTCCGGAGCCGCGTGCCCCCTGGGACAGGACGCAGCACCAATCGGAAATGCAGGGAACCTCTGAACACACTTCACTCTGACACACCTGTAACTCTAAACCCCTCTGCTTTTCAGGCTTTGGAAAGGGTTGTCTCCAGGCCAGTTCGTCTTGCTGGGCCTTTTTTTTAATTTGTGATGTACTTTTTTGTACACGGTTTTGACCAGAGCGCTCGCTAAAATGTGTTGGAATCTCACACTGGCAATGTCACCTACCTGTTAGGTTTATTTTACTGTCACTAAAAATATTCCATCTGTGGGATTCTTGGACATTTTGGGACGTCAGGGTATCTTCCACCTTGGCCGGGCTGCCCTGGAGACGGTGTCCCCTGTGGGGAGGGACAGAGCCAGGCTGGACGGGTCACTATCACCTGTACCAGCATTGCCATGACTGCGTGTGGCTCGCACGCTGTCTGGTAAATGGGGACTTTAGGTCTCTGCTGCAGGGGCCCCAGCACGACAGAGGGGGCGGTGGGCGCCGGCTGGGCCAGGACAGATCCCCCCAGAGCCAGCTCCTGGCTCTTCTGACTCCAGACTGGCCTGCAAGCCTGGGCGGCACCGAGCCCGGACCCTTCGTTTCTTGGCTGCCACACAGCCCAGGAAACTCAAGCCCAATCAGCTGTTGACAGTTCTTCGAGGCATTTCTACCACAACATTGGAGTTGAACACATTGGCCAAATAAAGTTGAAATTTTACTACCTTTCTCTGCTTCATGTTCTCCAAACCATGGGACAAGGGCTGGGATCCCAACTCTGAAGAGAAGGTGGGCCTGGGGCCCACTCTTGTGAGATGCCTCTTTCTCGGAGCACAGTGTAAGTGCAGAAACACACAGGAGTCTCAGTCCTCACTGTCTGTCACCAGGTGCACAGTCTGGGTGCAGGCGCAGGTCACCAGCTGGAGGTCACCAGGTGGAGAATACGACTGCGACTGGCCCCACTCACGTACCTGGGGCTGGCTTATCTGGTTCACCTTGATGGGTGTGGCCCGCATTGCCCTCCATGGGCGTCTAGTCCTGTGGATCCTGCTTTTGGGCTCAGTCAGGACACGACATGGTCCTGCATGGGGCCAGCCCAGCCAGAGGCGGCAGGTCTATGCATTGGTTGTCTCTTCCTGCAGCTGCCAGTAACTGCTGCAGGGTGGGCGCGAGGTCAGTGTTTAGGATTCAAGAAGGGACAAAATGGCACGATCCTGTGCCTGTCGCCAGTCACACAAAACAGCAAGGCGCCCAGTGAAGATGTAGCATGGCTTCTAGAAGCTCAGCTTGCAGTTTGCACAGAAAAGCACAGTGAGACAAAGTCCAGCTGCCATGGGCTGAGGGAACTTCTGAGCCGGGATCAGGGATATCTCCAGCCTGTGGTGCCGAGTGGCTCAGGGCGCCTGGCCCTGATGGAGTGCTCCCCAAGGGGCTCAGCATCACAGCCGGCAGACGTGACCATGGGGCTTGCTATGAACATGGTTCTCAGCGGTCACGGCTCACGGGGAGGTGTGGGCGTCATTTCGTCAGGAGCTGTTTCCCAGCAGGAGGCCCATGTGCCCACCTTGCTTTGCTGAAGCCTTCAGCTGCTACCCAGGTCCTCAACCCCAGGGCTGCTCCTGCCTCCAACCAGAGCAGGCCATGTGCTGTGCAGTGAGGACCCGATGTGAGTGCCCTGGGCAGCACCAGCTGGGCCCAGCCTATCCCTGCACCTGGGGTCTGGGCTCCGCCCCTCCAGCTCGACAGCCAGGCTGAGGGCTGCCCACAGCTGGGGGTCCTTCCCTGGTCTTGGGGTGGCCTGTGCTAGGGCTGCCTTCCAGTTTGTCTGCCCCAGTCCTGTCGACACAATGACACCTACATGGGAGGTTGGGGGATTGTCAGCATCCTGGGAGGAGATTGCTGAGAAATTAGCTCTGGAGCCCAAAACCTGAGTGGTTTTGCAGCACAGGGGCTGTCAGGATCACAGCTGCAGGGGGTGTGCTGTGCCCAATCCCATACTCCCTGCCCCAGTGACCATGCCGATGGTGACCCAGGGACCAGCCGTGGGAGCCTGGCCCTCTGTGCAGAAGCTGAGACCAGGCACAGCTGCAGAAGCAATGCCATCACGTGCTCCAGGGAGGGTGTCACTGATACGGTCCCCTCTGCAGACACAGCTGCGGAAAGCACCGTGGGCCTGCTCTGCTGAGAGGTAGGGAGGAGTCCAGGACCTGGCAGGGCTGGTGAGATTAGGCAGGTGACTTCACAGTTAAGGCTTCACTGCCTGGATGTGCCAATCCCACTTCCTCTCTCCCTCTCTCCGGATCTGCGAACCTGAACCTGAACAAGCGGGTGCTGGGGCTGCAGACCCTCCAGGTGCTCTGGCCTCAGGCAATGGGGAGGGAGGCACCTGCAGTGGCTGGGTGGGCTCCTTGGACTTTTTCAAAGTAAGCTTTTTGCATTAAGTGTTTTCATTTGCATCCCTCCTCTAGGTGGCAGAAACCCAAGTCATGCAAAGCAGGTCACTGCACAAGTTCCCCAGGCCAGCAGGCATGGAAGGATCAGGGCAGAACTGCCTAACACAGGCTTGGTTCTGATGCGGCTGCATTAAGCCCGGGCTGTGCCACTGGGGGCAGGTTAGGCTGCTCGCCTGGGGTCAGCTCCTGAGGACAGGTCTCCACTACGGTCCGCTGCAGATCCTGCCCATGGTCCTGTGTCCGTGACTATCTTTCAGGCGGTCTGTTGTGACTGGGAGGCTTTGGCATCAGTCTCTTCTCTGATCCTGATAGAAGCCTCATGCCCCTGCCACCCCAGCTCTCAACTTGTCCTTCGCAGACAAACAGATGGGAGGGACAGGGTCCCTCTTGGAGTCACCATCATCACAGCCACCCAGATGGGCTTCCTCACCCCAGCCCGTTCCTGCTCCAGCCCTGTCACTCCTGTGAGGGGCGGGCCGTGCCGTTGGCGGCAATTCCATCCACAGTCTCTCACCTGATCCTTTGGCAGGGGGAGGGGCGGACAGAACTTTCCACAACACCAGAAAACACCAGAACAGGTAATCTTCACATCAGAGGAAAGTTCTGTCTACAGGGTAGAACTTTTAGTCTCCGGGTTTTGTGTAAATAAACCAAAAGAAATTGTACCTGACTCCTCCCCAGTGACCAGGAGTCAGACCATCCAGGGGTCCTCTGAGCCCTGAAGTGCAGGAACCCTGGGTGTGACTCTTCCGTTGGGGCCACTGCAGGACCTGGCCGGGTGGAAAAAAACCTGCCAGGGCTGGGAGACCAGCTTAGGGCCCTGTTTCTCCGCAGCATTTGGCCCAAGGGTGTTAAATGCAGGGGTGGGCAAAAGTAGGCTGAATTACCAGCCACTACTACCTAAAAGATAAGTCATAAGTAAGGATACAAGATAACAGGAAGACAAATAATACAAACAAACAATAATACAAATAATAAGTATTACAAGGATAAACTGTTTCAAGTACTCACAGCTGTAAACCTACGTTTGCCAACCCTCTACCTTCGATTGGTTGGATTCTGTTGGATGAGACCAGCTCAGGGACCCAGCTGCCTGCCCCACCCCTGAGAAGAGCGCTGGCTCCGTCTTGGTTCTGACCTCAGTCAGGCCTTCAGGGACCTCCCAGGAGGTCTCTCCAGGGTTAGGGCTTGAACTGCGTTCCCCGCCCCCCAGGACCTCAGGATGGGATCTTATTTAGAAGTGGCGTTGTGCAAATGTACTCAAGATGAGGTCACACTGGAGCAGAGTGGGCCCCCTACTCCATTGGCTGGCGTCCTTATGAAAAGGGAAGTTTGGACACAGTCAAGCACACGGGGAGACCACCATGTGACAAGGGGAACTCAAGCGTCTGCCAGCAGAGAGCAGCAAGGACTGCCTGGCACCAGAGCCAGGACAGGGGCCTGGGTCAGACCCTCCCTCAGAAGGAACTGACCCTACCCACACCTTGACCACAAGCTTCTGGCCTCCAGAACCAGATAGAATGAACTTCTGTTGTTTAAGGCTCCTTGTTGCCGCACGCAGCCCCAGCAAACCAGCATGGCCAGCTTCAGGTGTGCGGGGCTGTCCTGACCCCATAGGTGCACTCCTGGCCCAGCTCTGCTGCCACTTATGTGTCCCGGGCTCGTATGTCCACTGGCCCCTCTCCCTCACCCAGGCCTAAGCTCCACCTCAGGCCTCGGCTGCTGCAGGGAAAGCAGGTGGCCCTGGCCCAGCCAGCTGGACCGTCTTCTAAAAATTCCACTGGCTGCACTCCTACAGGTAAGTCTGCACTGGGCTAGCGCAGAGGGCACACACCTCCTGGGACGTCATGGCCTGTCCTTTGGGTACAGGCTGGATGCTACCTTAAGTGTGAGCACATGTCCAGTAAGTCGCAGGAACCTGGAACCAGGAGAAAGGGGGGGGGCAGGGACCCGAGTGGTGATGGGGTGGGGTAGGCCATTGTGGGCAGGGCCTGCAGAGGGCTCCTGGTGGGCACTATGAGAGGGCCTGAGTGGAAGCTGAGGCATTTAGTTCTAACCTGGGAGGACCCCAAGCAGGAGGGCAGTGCCAAGGCCCATGTTTTGGTAAAACTGCCAAGAGTTATCATGGAAGGTGACGTGACAGGGAGGGGATGGGTCAGGCTGGGCCTTCTTTAGTCAGGACCCTGTGCTTCCTTAGACGTGGGTGGCCCCTAACTCTCTGGGAGGCGGAAGAGCTGTCCTCCCCCCATACATCACGCCCTTCTCCCAGGGTTCCAGGGCTGGGGCTGATGTCCTTGTACCTGCCTGCCTTCCTCATAGGCCCTGTCCTTCTGGTGCCCTCTGTAAGGCACCTTCTAGGTCCAGCAGCGGGGCTGGGTGCGATGGCCAGGAAGGATCTGACCCCTTTGGCCAGGCACAGCGACAGGTGGGCTGAAAGACGAGCCAGTAAACTTGATCTGAGCTCGGGGTAGAGAGCGGCTCGGTTTCAGCCCCTCACGGGTGAGCATGACCGCGCAGCTTTATATAGCTCTGCGGCCCCTATATAAGTGGGAGGTGCCCTTGCAGACGGAGCAGAGGGAGCATCGCCTCGGCTGTGCTGGGGGCCGCTGTCCTTGGCTTGGAGAACCTGTCCACTGGGCTGAGCACAGTCCTCCCCAGAACTGTAGGGTCCCCCACAGGGGCAGCCCACACCACTGCCCAGGATGCCCAGCAGGACTGTCCGCTATGCCCGCTACAGCCCACGGCAGCGGCGCCGTCGGATGCTGGCCCAGCGCACGGTGCGTTTTCCTAACGATGTCCTGTTCCTGGACCACATCCGCCAGGGTGACCTGGAGCAGGTGGGGCGCTTCATCCGGGCTCGGAAAGTGGCCCTGGACACCATCCACCCCTCAGGTAGGTGCCTGCAGGCCCAGCCTAGGTCTGTGGGGCGGCAGGGGGAGGCCTCTGCCTTGACCCCTCCTGCCCTGTGCTCCCCAGGCCTGGCAGCCCTGCATGAGGCCGTCCTCTCGGGAAACCTGGAGTGCGTGAAGCTGCTGGTGAAATATGGGGCCGATGTCCACCAGCGCGACGAGACGGGCTGGACTCCCCTGCACATCGCCTGCAGCGACGGGTACCCCGACATAGCCAGGTGAGCGCGAGGCCAGCAGCTGTACCCCCACCCCCTGGCCTCTGTTAGCCTCCAGGCTGCGGCCCCCAAACCTGGCCCTGGCCATGCAGCTCAGAACCCTAAGGGCTTCAGGAGTCCGCTTTCTGCCCTGGTGCCCTCCTGGAGCAGCCCGTTTCTGCAGGGCCAGGCTGTCTGTCCCTCACCCACCTGCAGAAAATTAAAACAGGTGGACCTCGGGGCTCCACCCTGCTGCCCTGGGATGGGGGGAGGTCCCTCCGGCCGGGTCCCCCTGCGACCCGCGGGCCTGTGCACCCAGGTACCTCATCTCCCTGGGCGCGGACAGAGCCGCAGCCAACGACGACGGCGACCTGCCCTCCGACCTCATCGACCCCGACTTCAAGGACCTGGTGGAGCTCTTCCAAGGCACCAGGATGGACTGAGCCCCGCGCGCCCGGGGCCGCCCCGGCCGGGGCCCCGCTCCTTGGGCACAACCCCTCCCCCGGCCTGGCTTTTTCTGCAGGTGCATTTTTTACGGTGACACTTTTTACTTTTTCAATAAACGCGATGCTCAAGCCCGTGTCGGTGGCCTCATTGCTGGAGACGCGCCCGTCCCGTCGGGG